GTAAACAAATAAGTAAACAGGACCAGGGTAACATCCCATTAAAAAACCTGCATATCACTCAAACGTTATGGGCCCTCTTTGTATCTTGGTTTTCTTCCGGATATAAGAGATTGGACACATTTTAACTGAGAACTGTATTAAGAAACAGTTCCAACTACTTCATTTTTCCTTCCAGGTCTGTTCTACTTAGGCCACATTAACTCTGCCCCCTCCACTGCTGGCGGCACTTAAGATCAACCTCCTAGATTCCAGGAATGTCCGGTGGGCAAGTTATTGCACCACTAAACATCAATGCATCAGGTAAAGCTACAGTGCCCAGTGAAGTGTCCTCCATATGCATTCAGCCACATCCCCCAACATTTCTGACCATTGTCTATGATGGCTGGGACTGATGGGATTGCAGTCCAAGCCATCTGGCAAGCAACAGATTCAGAAGGCTGAAGCAGAGGGTGCGGCAGTGAACTGAGCTTTTCATTTTTCAGAAATCTAGCCTTACTCCCATGCCTGCAGAAGAAAATGCAGTACCAAATATTTTAATCTTTCTTTGTAAACCACTCGGAGATATATTTTACATATGGTAAGCACTGTATAAATCTTTCAAATTATTAATATTATTGGTAGCAGTCATCAGTAGCACAAGAAAGTCTTCCTGGGAAGCAGCTACATGTGTGTGGGAGAAACAAGGAACCAGAACATTCCTCTGAGGTGTGTTACGTGTGTAATCTACACAAGAAAATCGTAAATACCTATCAAATGTAAACTTTAGCTCCTCCAGCTCACGGTTGGTCCTATGGCTCAAGCACATTAGGTCAAGTCAAGAGGGAAGATATCAAAGAAATCTGCAACTGATTCAAATGGGTTCAAGTATCTGTGGATGTGACCCACGGGTTCTGCAGCTTTTTCCAAGTTGTGAAGACCTGCAAGTCCCTTTTAAACTTTCCAGGAATTGTACACAAATTCAGTTAAGCAAAAATACAAAAAAGTCACTGACCAAAAAAGTGCATTTCCCCCCATAGGTTAAAGGTTGAAAATGCTGCTTTAGGGGGAATTGGTGCATTTTTCTTCATTTTTTCCATTTCAGGGAAGTCTGCACAAGTCTGCTGGGGAGGGGGCAGAATTCAGGCTGGCTTGGAAATAAGCAGAGCTATCTCAGTAAGTTGTTTCTTTGTGGCTTATTTCCAAGGTAGTCCAATATAAGCCGGGATCTCTCTGTCTGCAACAACACATTGGCCAGAAGGATTCTTAATTTTAGAATAATAACTCAGTGTTAAACATGGAGTTCAGATGGTTCAGCGCGGATGAATTCTCATCACCTCCCAGGCTAGATTCCTTTTTAGAGTATATACAGTGCTCTTATAAGCATATTCACTTAGATGTGAACCCCACTGCAACCAATGAGGTTTAATCCCAACTGATAGGCATGCATGCCTCTGTTACATCTGTAGTGATTACAAAGCACCCAAAGAGCAAAAGAGAGCTCTTTTGCAAACTAAAATTGCAATGACAGAGAGCAAAATGGGTTCAATTCAGCTATAAAACAAGCTAAGCTTAGCCATTTTAGGACTCTGTAGCCCTAAGGAGTAATCTGCTGCCAAAGTGTGGTAACCAGCGATTACCCTCCATTCCCCACTTGGAGGGGTGTCCCATGTACCGTGCAGTGCCCCGTGGAATGTGTGCTATAGTGGGGGCCCATGTGGTGAATGGATACGGCCCTTCAGTACTGCAGCCTCAGGGTAGGGAATGTCTCTCCCTGCAGTAAAGCTTGCAAAAGCATGAAGGTGAGAGTGAAGGTGATTATTGTTTTCTCAGAAGCAAGCCATACTTACCTAACCGTAAGCAAGTAAGATGTTCGAACAGTGTCCAGCTGTTATCATCAACATAATGGTTCTTCAGTATCAGCAACTGGCACAGATCTCTGGCTGTTATATCACCGGGTACTTCCAAAGCTCTGCTAGTTTCATCTTCACTATATACTTTAATTACCTGTAGAAGGACACACCATGACAGACATACACAATGTCAAAATGCTGGTTTTGTTAGCAGGTAACATTGCTTCATGCCTGAAAGGAGAAGCCTTCATCTGTAGCAAAAACCGATCTAGAGGTGATATTATGGCTACCTCAGATTTAATAGTCTCATAGTCCCATCCCACCAGACACTCCCCAGAAGTCCCAGACCCCGTTCCCTGTCCACTGATCATCTGGGGTATCCTTGGCTTTTCTGCAGTTTATTCCCCATTCTAAAAGACTGAAATGCCTTCCCTATGGCTGAATTACTCGCAGTAGCAGCCTTAAGCTGTAATATGCCAGTAATTTCTTATTTTTGCCCCTACCTCTTTTGTATATGACCCCCACCCCTTCACACGTGGCCTTTCCTACCACTATCATAAAGCCCCTGAAAGCTTCTACAAAATTGAATTTGGCTTTCAAGCTAAGAGAAGTTCAACAACCTAATCAAATTACAACATTGTAGGGACAACTCTAACAGGAACTTAAATGTATGAGAACATGGGTGTAAAGAGGGGTGATCCATTCAGAGCAGGGGAACAGTTCAGTGGCAGATCCTTTGCTTGAAAAGAGAAGGTCCAACACTCAAGGAGCATTCAAGGCCACCAGACAGCTGCTCCCAGTCAGACTAGATCACAGTTAGCTATGTGTTGCCTCCAGATGTTCAGTGCAACACCCATCAACCCTTGGCAGCATAGCCAATGGTAAGGATGTGAGTTACAGTCCAACAACATCTGGAAAACCACACATTCCTCATAGTTAAAAATAGATTATTCAAAAATGTATGGGGCCTAATGACCTGACTCCTTCTAATACAGATCCTGTGATCATCTAGAAAGGTATAAAATTCTGAACACAACTGAAAGCCCTCTTATATGAACATTTGAGTGCTGGTTCCCATTGTCAAATTTTAAAATGCCTGTCATACCAAAGGCATGTGTTTAAGGAAGGAGCACAAGAGATTGTACCTACAAGGATCCCTGGAGAGGTACAATGCCTGTTCTCACCCATTTCATTCTGCTTCAGTGCACTGATAATATGCTGTGCTATGCAAACATTTGAGAGCAACTGTACAATATGCTTCTACCTTTATCCAGCCATATTTCAGCTGCCAAGATCATACTCGTGTGTTATTTCATGCACACCTCTTTAACACACTTTGGAGTGGAAAGCCAATCACTTCCCACCCCACCTTTTTAAGTATTTTCAAGAGACATGTCCATAAAAGTATGGCTCTATCTATCTATGAAGTTTGTTTGTGGTATATCACAGAAAACCTCTGAATTCACACTGACATCTGGTTTATCAAAGCCTCTTGAATGCTGCTTTCAAAAACAGCATTCACTTTACTACTGACAGCGAGTAAGCAATTCCTCTTATGCAGTTCCCATGCAATATCCTTCATCAGTATACACCCACAAAGAAACCAAATGTCCACAGAGCAGAGATTTACTGCTAGCAGAAATAACTGTTTGGTAGGCCATTCAACATACATCATGGCAAGATAGCATTGTGAAGGTCAATTTCTGACCTACAGGAAGCCTAATTTATTTGAGAGAAAAGACTAGGACAAAAAGATGGAACAGCAATTTTCTCAATAGCAACAAACCTGATCCTCTTCCTACTGCCAGTGCAGGCACTTTTACCAAGAAAAGTGTGTTAAGACGCTACTAGCCCTGTCAATTCCCTTAGTCACAATATAAATAGGATTAAATTATTTTGAAGAAGTGCAGTGGGCAGGGGGCTTGAAAAAGAAATCAAGGAGGGCAGAGTCTGTTGAAATTCATGAAGCTTATGGGAAGTATACATATTAACCAAACATTATGGTGCTGCTGTTTGAGGGCACATACCCATTTTCACAGATGGTGCTGCTCTTTCCATATAGCCACTCCAGTACAACTTCTCATAATAAACACCTTGTAAAGCTCTGCAAAGGTAATCTGAAGTGTTGCCTTGGCAATACAGAGAGTCAAACATCAAAATAACCACATGCTGTTGTGTCGTTGGCAAAAGAGGTAACTACTTCAGCAAAAGGGCAGACTGGCAAATCAAATAACAAAAGGTACAGTAAATCATGGCAAGTGAATAAATAGGGAGCCAGTTTGACCCCAGAAAGCAATTTAGGAAGGTTTGACAAAGATCCTAGGGTGGCCTTCCCCAACCTTGTGCCCTGCAGCTGAAATCATACCTGACCACTAGGCATGCTGGCTGGGCCTGGCAGGGGTTGTACTACAACCCATCCGAAAGGGAGGACAGATCCAGGGCATCTTGATTTATCCAGAACTCCTTTATGGCACACACACCACGTGACACAACTACATTCAGTGCCAATCATCCTCAATAACTGTAGTGCAGTAGGAATTATAAAAACTGCATGTTTAGATGCATATTACAAAATGTCCTCAATACCACGTCAGGAAGAGACATGGTGCAAATGAACAGAGGAGCTGCCCCAAAACAGAACAGCCACACAATCCTCTCTAGAACGCTGGCTTGCTATGCTCCTGCGTTCTGTTTTGTTTTCCTCTCCTCTTTTTCTTCTCAGCCATTTCCAGTGATTCAGCTTCTTTTTGCCTGGCATAGGACAGCTGCTGAAAAAAGTCACCTCTTCAGGGATAAAACGATACTGGTCATTTTTTTTCCTATCGGTATCAGTTCCATTTTTCCAATGGCTCGCGTGTCCCGGCTCCCCTGCCACGCACCCCATGCAGCCACCTTCCCACAGCCATTTTCAGCAGCTGCCTCACTGCCCATCCTCATGCTCACCGTCACCATAACTTGCTCCCAGGACTGGCAGACAGGCCAGCGCATCTGCCGTCCTCTTTGGCATCATCACCACTGTCCGAGTCAGACAGAGAGACCAAAGAGCAAGCAGGCTGCAATGGTGAAAAACAGGGGCAAGTTTGCGGGGCTACCATTCTTCACTCACGGAAACGATCGCTTCGTTCCCTCTGCTGCCCTATGTGTTGACTCCCAAATCCATTCTTGGGAATTAGGATTGTGCCACAAGTCTGTGATGCACTCTGAATAGTCTGAGAAACTGTATCTGTATATTCCAAATGCAATTCAAAAGACAGAAACACAAATAACTGAATATTACAAGCTGTTTTGATATGAACATCTTTCTGTAATGCTCTGCTCATTCTTTATATTAATGGAATTGGCATAGGGCAAAAATAGGAAGCATTACAAAGCTTACATTTTCAGATAACCCAGCTCAATTCAGTTGCATGACATGAAGCACAAACTGCAAAAGAGTCCTTATTTTACCAGGAAAAGTTATGTGTGTGCCACAGTGATACCTTACTAACAGTTCTGGCCCTCAGGATTTTGGAGGCCCTTGGCCGTGGCACTCTCAGTGAATTCACAAACTGAAAGCGTTCGGGATATGAAAACTAGCAATTTTCTGAAACTGGATCTGATATTCTTAGACACTCTGTGCAAAAGGGAAGTGGTACTACTGTTAGGGCAGTGGATCCTCTGCTAGTCATGGAGACCCTAACAATTGTCCAGCTTTGTCAACCTCAGGACAGAACCCGCAATGACACTAATAATCCATGTTTTGAAGTCCCCAACAGCCGGCAGCGCTCTTGCACACAAAATCTCAGGTCGTGGCCTTGAATCGTTTTGCAAGCATTTCCTTCCAGCTGATTAAAGTGTTTATTCGCTGCAACTTTATTCCAGATATTTCTGTTAGCAAAAACTGATTGTTTCCCTAGATATTTCTGTTAGCGAAAACCAAACAAACCCTTACTGTCTGCTTGGTTACTGTGAGATAGAATGCTGGACAAAAAGCAGCCATGGTCTGTGATCCAGCATGACTCTTCTTATGTTCTTGTCAGCGTCTGGAATGGCTGCCCTCTTTTTAAAAAAACAGACCTAACAGAAGCACTTGGCCTTTAACGGCTTCAAAATCAGCAGATGTAACTTTTCCCAACATATTGGTTTCGTAATGGTAGATGCCGCAACTCTTGATTTTATGCAAGCTGTGGAAGTCTTCACTCTTGTATGCCTTCCCCAATCTCGTGCCCTCTGGAATGTTGTAGGCTACAATTTCCTGACCATTTGTCAGGCTGGTGGGGGATAAGGAGAGCCGAAGGACAAAGCATGACAGCAGGTTGGCGGAAGTCGCCCTTCCTGAAACAAATCACAGTCTGATATCATACAGACTTCAGTTTTGGACTTGGAGGCAGTTTAGGCAACAAAGAAGAATATACTAGCCAATGTAATGAACTGGCTGGTTTATTTCTGCTGAACCTGGGAAAAATAAGATATATGTACATGCACAACTTTGAATATAAAGTGCAGTATGACAGCAGCAATACAGTTCATTGCAGTGGGTTACATTTACTGTTTTTGGCCACCCAGGAAGAAAATCCACCAAATCTACAGACTGAAATCAAATCTGATTAAATCAAAATACTAACTGTGAAATCCTATAACTATTTTCTCCATTGAAAATAGGTAACATAGACACCACAGGAAATCAATCGAAGTCCTGAGCCAACAGCATCACATGCAAGAACTTTTAAATGTTATGGCAGAAACCATAGTTTCTGCATAGTTCAGCATTTCATGGACAAAGGCTTACCTGCAAGTGGAAATCACGAGACTTACTTCTGAGCAGGCATGCATGGGACTGCACTTGTAATTTTTAAAAAAATCTTTAACATTATACTGGAACTTATAAACTACTTCACTGACAATGACTATCAAATATCCACACATTTAAAACAGGGAAAACCACTCCTTGTTCAGGTATCCCAGTACAAACAATATACTTGGATATGCATTCATTTTAATTACATATTACAAGAGCTGTACACCTTGCCCGTCAAAGTTTCCACCTCAGATGACTTCTGTACTGTATTATTTTGAAAGGTGGACAAATGCAACTCGTTAGAAAAGCCGAGCCCCCACTTTTACATACTACAAAACGAAAACACCACACTCCGCACCACGTCCTGTTCTATTCACCACCGAGGCGCTTTGTAAATTCTGCATGTGGGGTTTCTCTGCTCCCCAGATGCAGCCATCCAGACCACATACACCTTGAGCCTCACTCACCCCATGCACTAAAAAGTCACCTACCCGTTTTTGCAGAATGATTGGGCTAATCACAGGCAGGGTTGCCCTTCGTCCATACAAGCTCATTTCTGTTATTTGCAAAAATTAGCTCAAGAACTTTTGCCCAAGCAATTTGCAAATTAAAAATAGTTCCTTAGAGGATCAGTTTTGTAGGCATCCACACTTTAATGAGAGTCCTTGCAAAGAGATGACTTGGAAAGCAATAAAAGGCATGCTGTTTATATGAATCTGCTCCTTCGGGAAGCCAATTAAGGATGACACCCAGACAGAATGAACCAATGGCAGGCCAATCAGAATGTGTGGGGAGGGCTCCACCTCTGTCCTTGGAAACATGTTCGGATACTTCTGCTTATTATGTTTAAAGAGCTATCTTTAAGCGAGTGTTCAAATGACCCAAAATCCTCTTTCTGGCAGTGCCTTCACCTATCAAGCAGGGAGCTGCATCTTACTTTCCTTACTGGGGGGGGGGGGGGATCAAATACTTTAATGTAAAATGAAAGGCACATGGGCCTTATCATTCTGCTAAACAGAATAGATGGAAATGGAAACTGAAGCAAGATGTGCAATCCAAACCTGCCTTTGGAGCAAACCAGAATACATTTAAAAATAAGGGGGAAACATTTACACATTGCCCCAGGAATCCCACTCAGGGCCAAACCAAGGTAATGTCTTGATATGTAAACGAACAAAAGGTATTAAAGTTGCTTTGATAACAAAGCCTAATATTTATATTGCCCAATGTTGTTTTTATTAAAACAACAGCCCAGTGCCTACTGTATATTTCACAAAAACATACAAGCATAATTTGAAATGGATATAGCACCTCCTTGGATAGCTCAGGGCTCCCTTAGCATGCAAGACCAGCACTCCATGCCAAAATTGTTATCTTATTTTCTTGAAATGCCTGGAATGCTGCCAATGACATGAACAATAGACACCAGGGAAAAAGCTGACTCCAGGTCATATTAGTTAGCAGAATTAAAGAATTAAATCCTAATCAGTTACAGAAGAAAAATGGCAATATGTCTAATAACTCATTTCTTAATACAGGAGTGTTAACATGCCAGAGCATGTCCAGCTAATATTATGCAGTTTATCCCCTTTTTGTTGAAATCCATTAGTAGAATTAGATCCTTAAGTTTTCAGAAACTAGACAAAAGCATTAGCTCAGCTGAACCTTGAATTGCAACACAGCCTTTATCCTCAACCTTTCCCCTTAGGTAACAAAAAAGGAACAAAATGAAATACTCTCCCAGATGAAATTCTGTTCACTTTTCACCTAACGATACCAGTCAAGAGAAGCTTTCACATTGTCCCTGCAGAAGCCAGGAAAACAAAGGAAAATCCATATTCCTTAATTTTCTGTACTAAACATCCTGTATCTTCCAGCTACCTGCTCTGTTCCTGAGCAACCAACATGTCCATGAGCATTCCATGATGTCACAGTGGCCCTGGAAATATGCCCATGTCTATCTTAGTCGGCAAACTGAAATTAGAGCTCTACAAACTCCTGATTTCCTGGCTATAATTGCTTACCTAATAACCGAGTTGAGATCACTGACTTAGAGATAATATGCAGAGAAGTTCATCAAATTCCTGGGAAGCTCCTTGAAAATTACTATTTCCCAGCAAAGCTATATATTTTATGCTATACTCTTACACTCCATCTAGATGTCACTTCAGCCATAAAGATGTAAACTGTAATGGAGTCAGTTATCAAAAGCAAAAGTCAGTAAACTAGTATCAAAAGCAAAATATAGATGCAGCCTATAAAGTCTTCTCACAAACGTGCAGTTCATTGTGCAGTTTCAAGCCCTATTGCCCTTCTTCATCCAAGATGGGGAATTCCTTGCAAGCCCAGCAAAAGTCCTTCCATTTTGTGATCATGCATGTGCTCCATGGCCAGTTACCCTTGAAAAAGAAGCATCGAATAAAGCTACTAAACCAGACACAAAACAACAATATTCAGTTGGCTGCCAAAATATAGGGCTAGTCCATTCTTACCTTGGTTAATATTAATATAGTCTGGCAGCGGCCACAACAAATCCATACTAATAATATAATCAGTTCAGCATTTGACTTAATAATCAGTGGCATGAACTGAGTATTCATCAGCTTTCCTTATCTTGAGGCTATAGGTATAAAATCCACAGCCGCTTTGTTCTGGAACTTTCCACAATAAAACCTTGACTCTGTTGCAGCTACTGGAGTGAATGGAAGTTTCCTTTCCCAATACACTTAATGTTAGATCTCCACAGCCAGCCCAAAGCTAAACATGCTTCCTGTCATGAGCTGGTCCCTTCCTTCCCTCTGGTTCCAGAGTTCAGAACAGTCCTTTGAAATGAGTACTTTTATTGAGAATCCACAAATCAGTGTAAACTCTAAATAACCGCCTACCAAAGCTGGAAAGAGAAGCCTCTGCTCATGCAAAGAGTGGAATCCAAGCTGGAAACTTCCCTGCAACTCCTCACTTTTATTAATGCCGCTGGGTCCACCCTGAGGGTGGCTCCTGCTGTCTGACAGCAAGAAGGTGCAAATGGCGAAGCCCCTCCAGTTGAGCAGCTCACTTCTCCCAACACTTCGCCTGTGGGTCCAGGACTGGGTCTCACACATGCCCTTCCTCCCCTTCCAGAACAGGCTGATTCTCATGCTTGGCCTCACTAGGCATGGCTGAAGGAGCTTTAACAGCTTCACAGACCCACTTGCTCCTGCTCCTGATCCAAATCCAACGAAAACTCCCACTGCACACTGTGCAGTGCACAAGAGACTGGCCCATTCGCTATACTTACTCAGGAGGTTCAGGAAAAGTTCATTCTGCATAGCACTTGGCCTGCTGAGCTAAAAAGAGAAGACACCACCTGCCGGACATCATACGATCCCCTTGGGGCAGCTGGGCCCACTGCCACAACACCTGCCCTAGGCCTCTTGCGCTGGGCCATGGGGTCCCAGAGCCTCCATGTTCATTTCTCACACGCAGCACCACTCCAGAGCCCTCCAGAGGCTGTCGTTTTAATTTCCCACAGTGCTCCTAGGAAGTAGCCTTGAAAACACACAGGGAAGCAAGGTCTCCTTTCCACAGTCCTCAGAGACAGAAAACTCGCAACAGCTTTCCCTTCACTCTCCAAAATATTTTTAAGAAAATTCCCCTCAAATTTTAGGACAGAAGAGCTTGCGACAAGCCTACCTCGCCCCCAGGCTGGCGGCACCATGAGGAGAGGAGAAATCTTTTGCCTTCCATCAGGGATGAAATCGTTTCTAGGATTGAAAACAAGGGCTTTTTAATTTGTTTCTAAATCATCTGGAGTTAGGGATACACAAACTTAAGACAGTGAAGCTTGCTGACAACATGACAACACTTAATGTTTAACAAGTTTAAAACAAGGAGAAATCGCAAAGAGGTCCCAAAGGATCTCTCTAAAATGGAGGAACAGACATTAAAATAGTAAATTTGGTTTGGTGCAAGCGTGAAGTGATGTACTTTGGGGCAAGAAAATAAAATCAAATTCACATATATGTAGATAGGGTCAGAGCTAACAGTGAGTGAGAAAGAAAGGGATCTTAAGGTCATTGTGGTGGACGGCTCAATGAAAATGTCGACCCAGTGTGCAGCTGCTGTGAAAAGGGCAAATTCCACGTTAGACATAATTAAGAAAGGAATCTAAATTGCCCAAGATCATAATGCCTTTGTACAAATCTGCAGTGCAACCATGCTGAGAATACTCTGTACAGTTCTGGTCACTGCATCGCTAAAAACATCTGGTAGAATTGGGAAAGGCACAGAGTAGGGCAACCAACTTGAACAAAGGGGGTGGAACAACTCCCCTAAGTGTATGACTTTTCACTTAGAAAAAAGGTGAGTAAAGGGAGACATGACAGAAATGTAGAAAAATATTGAAGGTGTAGAGAAAGTGGATACTAGCATGCAGGATCCTCAAGTTAAGTTACATAGTAAGAGACGCAGGACAGATAGAGGAGTGCCTCCTCGCCTAGCTTAAAATTTCTATTTCAAATTTCTAAAATTTTAAATTCTATTTAAAGGGAGATGAGGCAAATTCCATCAGTGGTGACGAGCCAGGATGGCTACATGCCACTCCAGGACCAGAAGCCATGTGCCAACTGCCAATTGCTGGAAAAACCTAACCAAGAGGAAGCTGTTGCAGCAAATTTCTCCTGCCTTTTCCTATAGCCATCTAATTGGCCACCGTGGGAACAGAACCCTGGCTTACATATTCCTATATTTTAATCTACCAGAGCTCTGAAGTTCTTAACTTTCATGAGAGGCTGAAGGGTGCAATCTCTGGAATTTGCCAGCCTCAAGAAATTGCTTCTTGGTAAGGCCAGCCTGATGTGACAACCAACTGCTGATAAGAATGGTCTTGTAGCATCCTTCTATTAGGAAAAAAATAACTCAGGGTCAGACTATCAAAGTTAATGAGGAACATATGCTATATAACTACAAATACTGAGGCGGGAATGTCTTTAGTTCAAGCACATTTTCTCAAGCTCAGCCGAAGCATGCAGATTTCATCTTGAGAATATAATGCTCTTGATTTAGAAAGAACAAAGAAATGGAAGAAGTCCCTTCTGCATGTGACTGTAATTGCCTGAGGAAGAAGGCAGCCCACCCCCTGCCACAGCATCCCAACAAGCCTTGCTCTATGTATCTATACTCATCCCTCATCCCTAAATTCCTGTGATTAGAATTCCACAGGACAGGAATCTAAATTATATGTGTACAGAAAACAAGTGCCTCTCTTCAAGCTCTCCCCCACTATTTGTACTATTGATGGTGGTAGCAGCAGATACAGCCCTTCTCTCTAGCTCCACACAATTACCATTTCTTGGAGAATAAAGCCCCAAATGGATTCAAGTCTCACTCTTACACTAAATATATATATATCCTGTGTGGCCTCACCAATCACTGAAAACTCAAAAGACAGCTGAATTACTGAATTCTGTCATAACTGTACGTTGCAAAGGGAAAATTCTGTTGTAAGAGATAAAAAATGATCTTGGACCCAAATTGCATAATGCAAGAGATTTTTTTTCTCCCTGAAATGGAGGCA